AAAGAAAAGAAAAGAAAAGAAAAGAAAAGAAAAGAAAAGAAAAAAGAAAAGAAAAGAAAAGATAGAAGTACTGCAGGAAAAAAATCAGGAGTCTGGGAGCACCTTTTCTGACTCACAATTTTTATTCAAAGGCAGAAGCTTTCTGCCTTTTATTTGAATAAAATCTGTGTGTTGGAAAAGGTGCCCCCAGACTTCTGATTTTTGGCCACCATTGACTAACACAACTCTCCTAAAATATAGCACTGTATATTGTTGCAGCATATATTGTTGTAATATATTGCAATACAGTCTGTGAGAAAATATTTTCAACAGTTGCAGGCTGCTTCCCATCGCAAACTCATTTTGTCTTGTTTTCTAGTCCCAGGAAAACCGATCCTGTCCGTGTATCCCACCCAAGAAAACTCTCTCCTGGTCAAATGGGAGCCCCCTCTGGAAGCCGAAAGCCAAGTGCTGGGTTACCGCCTCCAGTTTGGCCGCAAGGACGTCGACCCACTGGCCACTCTGGAATTTGCATCCCAGGAGGACAAATACACCGCCACCCACGTCCATAAAGGTGCCACGTACGTCTTCAAGCTGGCCGTGAAAAGCCGGGCTGGCTTCGGGGAGGAAGCGTTGCAGGAGATCACCATCCCAGAAGACGTGCCAAAGGGTTACCCCCAGATTCTTGAGGCGAGCAACATCACCTCCAGATCGGTCCAGGTCAAGTGGCTGCCCCCTGTCTTAGCCGAGAGGAACGGCGTCATCGTCAAGTACACTGTGGCATACCGAGAGGCCATCTCTTCAGGAAACCCCCAGGAGAAAGAGCTGCCTCCCTCTCCAGAAAACTCATACACCCTGAATGGTCTCAAGCCCAACACCGCTTACGATGTTAAAATCCGAGCACATACCAGTAAAGGTCCCGGGCCGTACAGCCCAACTGTTCAATATCGGACGGTCCTTCTGGATCAAGGTAGGACTTGCTGGTTTCTCCCCCAAGGGTCTCTCTCTGAATCCTGGGAGGCAGAGAAACCAAAACCTAAACCAAAACGTCTGTAGCCCTTAAACTCCTCGCCGGCTTGAAGATGGCGTGTGAGTACCGTTAAAAATCAAGCAGGCTTTAAAAAAATAATAATAATAATAACAAGGCAGGTGGCTTCCCTTTGCCTTTGGCAGGTAAGTCTTTTTCCTTTTTCTGCTAAAGTCAAGTCCAGGCAGCCCTTCTTGATTGACAGCTGGGCGGAGCAGTTGCCATCACAGGTGGGCGGAGTCTTTTCTTCAGCTTTTGTCCCCCCTCCCTCTCTTTTCTTTCTTTCTTTCTTTCTTTCTTTCTTTCTTTCTTTCTTTCTTTCTTTCTTTCTTTCTTTCTTTCTTTTCTTTTCTTTTTTCTTTGCAAGCTGGACAAGGAGAAAATACACCTATATAAACCAATTAAAAACAACAACAACAACCCACATAATCTATGCAGAGCTTCTGTCCTCAGCAGCCAAACAGAAGATTTGTAGTTGATTTTCATTGTGCTGGGATGCTGGAAGGGCACCCGGGTCAGATGGGATGTCTTTTGTAGCATAACATGATGTTGCAGGCTTGGATAGGGGTTTTCAAGATGTTTAGATGGCCAGAGGTAACTTTTGGGGACTGGAGCAGGACATAGTATGTAGAAAAGATGTCCCAGTTGATGAAACCGAGACTGCCGTTTTCACTCCCAGCCTCATGCTTTGCCCTTCGCTCATTGTTTTTCTTCCCCACAGTTTTTCCCAAAAACTTCAGAGTGAAAATGGTCACCAAGACATCGGTTCTTCTGGGCTGGGAGTTTCCTGAGAATTACAACTCTCCTATTTCATACAAGGTACATGTTTACTGTCAGTGTCTGCCAGAGGCAAGAGGGGGCAAGGGATGTGACATTCCTGAGCACCAATCAAATTGCCTCCTTTGTACAAAGGATGCAAGATCACCATTTGTGTCATTGAAGCAATGAGCATGAAACTGAGCAAACTCAGGGAGGCAGTGAAGGACAGGAAGGCCTGGCGCGATGCGGCTCATGGGGTCACGAAGAGTCGGACACGACTTAACGACTGAACAACAACGTCATGACATGCAACCTCCTTTTGTTATCATCATGGCTTCACCTGTGATATTCCCTAACTTATTTTTTTAAATTCTCTTTTAACCCTCCCAACCCCAGTGCCTTTGGGTGCCTTCCAAAAATAGGATAATAACATTAAAACTTTGAGGTCAGACATCAAAAATATAAAACTCTGAAGGGCCTGGGGGCAAAGTTTTCAGCCCTCTCCTAATTTCTAAGAAGGAGGGGACAAACCACCACTCCAGGGATGAATTATTCCATAAGATAGGCTGGATCCTGAAAAAAAGAGAATATGATTGTTGAGTGTATTGTCAAAGGCTTTCGCAGCCAGAATACAATGGCTGGTGTGGGTCTTCCGGGCTGTGTGGCCGTGCTCTGGAAGTTTCGTTTCCTAACGTTTCGCCAGCACCTGTGACTGGCATCTTCAGAGGGCAGGAGCACAGACAG